ACATAGGCTATATATATTTAGGCTACTAATTGCCCGGCTGAAACAAGCCCTTACAGTTTCCGTGTCCGGTGTAAGCCCTCTTCATCCAGGACTGTCAATCAAAATACTCTTCTCCGCGAGTCAGTCACTGAATGAGGTTACAGGTTTCAGAGGTGCACACCAACTGATTCTCGAGTAACGTTTTGATGGAGTTCTACGGTGACTAACTGTTTAAAGAAAAGGCTCGGAGGCGAGTGTCTCATTTCAGTAGCCATCAGCGCTCTTTTTTACAGTATGATTAATTACGGTTATTACTTAACTACCGTCTTACGTTACATTGCCGTCATTCGCAGCGAGATGGAGCCCATAAGCTTCGCTCAGAGGCCAAAGGATTCGTTGAGGTTTATGAATGCTGGGGCCCCAACTTTTCGGAACCCATGAACAATCTTGCCTTCCCAGGACACAGATGCGCAATTATAGTCATTACCTCATCAGAGAGTGACAGGCTCAAAGCTCCTGGTCCTACTGGTTACACCAATCTATACACCCTGTAGTTAAAAGCGTAACACTGAGGATTTTTGTCTCACTTTTTTTCTAAAAGCCTTAACTCAAATGCTCTAAAATAGTGTTATGATTGTACAGTGTGCATACACAGTAGCTGCATACAGTAAAAGTTCATATTTGTTATTTCATATTTGATTACTCTTCATTTTAAATTAAAATTAGCACCAGCTTTAAGTATATTACCTGAATTGTTTCATACTATCTTATAATTCGATATGATATATTGAGTCGATAGGTAATGGGAAAATCGGGGTTAGATGATACACTATTTCTATACTACATATATGCAATAGTAAATAACTTTGCAACTACGTGTCAACAGCAGTCATTAGAGTATTAGGCTGTCTGCTTAATATCTTCTAACACTTTATTTTGATGGGTCCACAACATACAACATACTATGAGAAATTGTGCAAGTATGTGTCAACCTATTCTAAACCGAACCTAACAGTCTACTTTGAGAGTTAGTAGATATGTAGTTGCAAATTAATGACAATTAATTGGCATGTAGTTGCAAAGTCCAATATAGTTAGTAGAATGTCTAAAGTGGACTATCAAAATAAAGTGTAACCATTTTTTTGTGTAAATATTAAATTGCCTGCATGAAATGCTTTTTAGAAAAAGTGAACAAATAGACAGTAATACGAAAATAGTAATAAACGAAATAGCAGCCTATGTGAAAATAAGAAACCATTGTTTTGGGCCAACAAAAAAAAAATACTGTACTGAATGAACTGTATAAAAAAATCTGACAAACAAGTGTGACAACTTACCCCGCCCGACCTGCCATTTATGAAAAATATTCCTGCGATTAATCTTCAAGTTACATCTTTCAAATGCAATCCTTAGCCTATTAGTTTACAGTTGTCAAGTGCAGTTTATTGTGTTCTCTTCTCTTGTTTACCCAACAACTATTAGAATATATTTCAGTATGGTGAAAATAAATATATAAAGAGGGATTTGAAGTAGATGTTTAACTTGGACTCAGTCCCTAAGTCTGAGATTTAGCCCTTGTCACACAACTTCGCAGAGTGACAAACTGCCCCAATCTCCTCTAAATATGCATAAATATTGTGTGGCATTTTGTTGCTATTTGTACGTAAATACAAACGCAGTGTCTCATGTGGGCTACGTGCACACGTCTTGTCATCACGGCGAAAACGAAGTGCGCTTAATTGTATTGAATATGCATTTGTTGTGTTCCTCAAATCTTAAAAGCACATTTTTAAAAAGACTGTACCTTCATATAACATAAAGTTTCAATCGAAAGTACATTTTAAATAATTGTTTAATAATCTTTTGTCATTCTTTAAAGAAGTACACTTATTTTAATGTGTTGACTAACGTGTAAAGTAGGCTACTTGATTAATTTTAACTGTAGCGTGTTATTTGATATTAAAGTATTTTAAATGTACTAATACAACTTCATCCATACCTATGTGGAATTCCACATATATTTAAATTAAATACAAGTTTCAATAGAAATTACATTAAAATACGTTTTAGTTTGCCATAAATGCTTGTCAGTGCATTCAGCTGTTACAGTTTAACCATACTTCAAAACCAACTTTGGGTCAAATATGGACTAACCCAGCTGTTGGGTTACATTTTTACAGTACATTTTTAACCCAAAAGTTGGATTGAAACAACCCAGCATTTTTTTAGAGTGTCGAATAATGACATTAAAGTCCTTCTTAAGTGGATGAAAAAGCACTCTTACGTTCAACTACTTGCATTTAATATAAATTTAAACTATAACAAATTTCTGTTTAATTGCAGATAACATTGAACATGCACTCTAAAAAATGCTGGGTTAAATACAACCCAGTGCTGGGTTAAATAGTGACAAACCCAGCAATTGGGCTGTTTTGACCCAGCGGTTGGGTTAAATGTTTAACCCAACCTTCTGGGTAGTAACCCAACCGCTGGGTCAAAACAGCCCAATTGCTGGGTTTGTCCCTATTTTACCCAGCACTGGGTTATATTTAACCCAGCATTTTTTAGAGTGTAGATATATTTCGCATTAGGGTGGCAGATGTGTAGGCTATTACAGCGACGTGGCGATGAGATTTTCATTATTTTATATTTTCTTCAGATCTACAATAAAGAACATTTCACTTCATTTGACAAAAAAATGGGTAACACTTTACTTGAAGGGGTGTGCATAAGACTGACATGACACCTTCATAATCATGACATGATACATGTCATGAATATGAAGGAGGTTTTATGCATGTTTATGACAACTGTCATTAAGTGCAAATATTTAATGCAAATATGACATTATTTGACCTAACCCTACCCCTACCATTACATAGCCCATAACAAAGACATCTCAAACAATGTTATCTTTGCATTAAAAATTACATAACTGAGCGAATGACACTTAATGACAGTTGTCATAAACATGCATAAAAAACCTTCATATTCATGACATGTGTCATGTCATGATTATGAAGGTGTCATGTCAGTCTTATGCACACCCCTTCAAGTAAAGTGTTACCAAAAAAGGTTGTTTTTATTATTGTTTTAAAAAATTGGAAACCATTTCTGACAGCTATATTGCAAAAACTTGTTGATTCTAATGACCTGAGGCGACCTTTCAAATCTCAATTTGACCTAAACCCGACAAATATGTAGGCTATAAGTAAATCAATAATTAACTTGAAACACGATATGCTGAAATATACGCAAACATATATAGTTTGTATAGGCCTATACTGCACATAAAAGAATAAAGGAGAGCCAGTGCTGTGGTTTCTGTCATGAAGGCAGGTAATGGACGGACTGCTGAAGTGTAATCCGGTGGTCGCGAGGCTCTTCCTGTGCGTCTGCACCTCAGTCAAGCATTGCAGGCTGGCGCCAGAGACTACATCAGGTGTAGGGTTACTGTTTGTTGTGGCCTGTGTACACTAATAGGCCTGTTGGATGTCAGTGTCGGCGTCAACTTTTCGGACATCCACTTTGCTTCACCCAAGCACAAACCAATGTATCCCTGATTTCACGAGGATGAATGGAGGAAGCCGTAGGTTACCTGCAGACTGCAGCAATTAGGAACATACAAGGAATATCTCATATTAAGATTCTAAAGTCATATTCAAAAACACTGTTGCCATAATATAAAACTTTTGTGTAAATATTTAACCAAATATCTTTGCTTGCACGTCTTAAATACAACAGATAAATGTGTATATAAATAAGCTGTTCGTAATAATTTTTATTTTCAATGATTAATAAATACCTTGTTACAACTTACTGCTAATTTGAATTATTGTTATTTCATCATTTAAATATTATTTTTTTAGGGTTTGAAAACACTGAATTTCCAGTGGTTCTCTTTTGTGATATTTTGATTTTTTTTTTTTTTAAGATGAGATTTTTCTTGGTGATTGATTTCTTGGTGACTATAGCGAAAGTTGTGAACATATTTTAAATGTCATGGCAATTACATTTGATAACAGGTCAATTAGTAACGTTCAATTTCTAAAATAACGCTATCGAAAAGCATTAGAAAAAAAAATATTGGGCCTAGTTATTAACAGCAATTGTTACGTTAAATTATTTTGAAATTATTTTACCTGATCTTACCTTAGATTTAGATTTGTTGGTGTAACCTAATATATTTAAGTTGATTCAGTAATGTTAAATGACATTTTCATTCAAATAAATCAATTAATATTGATGTTACCACATGAAGTGTTTACCATTTTTAGTAGTAGGCTAACATTGAGTTAACGCTCTAACATAAATGGCTCACAATAACAACTATAAAATCCAAAAGTAATGTTATTTCAGATCTTATGGTCACGTTAGGCTCCAAGCCAAACCATCTTAATGCTTTAGCTTAGAAGGCTATTCCAGATGAATTGACACACTTGAACTATTCATTTCCACTTAAAATAGCCCTTAATAAATCACCTTCGTTTTTGTAACCCAATGTAGTCAGGCTTAGTCCTGTTAAATACAATTTTTGACTTGATTAAAACCATTTCATTGAAATGTTACAAACTGAAGTACTAAGTCTAGATTTTAGGTTACCTGACAAATGTGTGCAACTCCAACTCAACTTGAAATTGCATATCGATAAATGACATTTCAATCACAACTGCCTTCATTTGGAGGCCTTTATTAAACAACCTACCACTACTGTGAGTTGGGACAGGTGGTGATGGGAGGCATAGAATGGGAGGGGTCCATCTGAGATAAGGACGCTCTCTATTAGATAAGAGCGCTCTCTCCACACCTTCACCAGCGTCTAACAGCAGCGGAAAGAGGAAGATCTAGTGCTGCTTCCATGAGGAGATACACATATATATAGCCTATAGGTCAAACAGATATATAGGCGATACGTTAAGGAGAATTTACCTGAGGACATCTGTAGGAACGAAGTCAACTGATGTTGCTTTGAATTTGACAAGGTGAACCGAAGAACCCTTCTTCAAGCACCCACCGCAGCGATGCTTCCGAGTCCTGTAACCTCAACTCCGTTTTCGGTGAAGGACATCCTCAAACTGGAACAGCAGCATGCTCTGAACCCCAACGGATTCATGGGTGTTGAGCAGGACACTGTCCCGCTGGAGTCGCTTCAGCTTCAGTGCATGCAGAGCACGCTGAGCCGGAGCCTGGGTCTCCTCTACAGCCCTGAGAAACACAGCGTGATCTCTGGGGAACAGGTGAAATGCGCCTTCAATTCAGACGACTTTGACATCGTCAGAAGCTCCTGCGGATCTCCAACGGAGGAGGAGATGGATCCGAGCGAAGAAACAAGTAGGATATTTACAGTTAATACTGCTATTTTTAAATCCTTTGCGTTAAACCATCCAAGTGTTTTTGTTACAACCCAAAACGTTTTTACAGTCTGACACTCAATTCTAAAGTTTCACAACGAATATGTATTCTCTTTTTTAAACATTAATAGATGCATATGTAGTGCATCTTAAAGAATCAAGAAACCAATACACTGATATGAGAAACATCTTACATTGTATTTTTTTAATCTTATTTCTAAAGGATAAAAACAACAAAGTAACCATCAGTGGTTCCTGATAAGAAGGTTCTTCACTAATATGGGCCCGACAAGTACCGAAGAAACATTGTATTATTTAATAAATATAATGTAATATGATGTTATCATTGGCTGTAAAACCAAATTAGTTCTATAATATGTAATATAACAAACACTAATTGTTCTGTAACCTCGTGATTTTATTTTACACGCCGTTTACATTTTGCATGAGCATATTTTTGCATTTCAAGTTGACTGCTAAATTCTAAAACCATGGAAACGATATTAGACATTAATTTAGATGTTAGGCCTAGATGTAATAGTAGTAGCCTACTAGTGTTAACAACAAAAATAGGCTAATAGAATTATTAAAAATGTGTATTAATAATAATAATGTTGTATTTATTAATCCCCTTCATTCAATGCAATTTCATACCGCATTATAAGTATACATTTGAAGAGCTCGGATGCAAAAGCCTCTATGTTCAATCTGAAATTTTCTTCTAAAATGAGCATTTTTCCCCCCTCAGGCTCCTATGTTTATGTTCAGTAATTTCACTTTAATGGCAATGACAAGAACCTATTAATTGCCATGAAAGTGAAATTACTGAACCTACACATGAGAGCCTGAGAAAAAAAGGCTCATGTTAGAAGAAAATTGCAGATGGCACTTAGAGGCTTTTGCATCTGAACTCTTCATTTATTTATTGTATTTTTTTCCAAATAGGTATGTGTCCATTTGCCGATTCCGGTTATAATGGTAGAAAAGAGGAAACACCGGGGGAGAAAGCAAAGCAGAGGCAGCGCAGGAAACCCCGGGTGCTCTTCTCTCAGACTCAAGTGTTTGAGCTGGAAAGACGCTTCAAGCAGCAGAGATACCTGTCAGCACCCGAGCGAGACCACCTGGCTCACGTGCTGAAGCTCACCTCAACACAGGTCAAAATATGGTTCCAGAACCGGAGGTACAAGTGTAAGAGGCAGCGCCAGGATAAAAGTCTGGAGCTGGCCGGCCCGCGGAGGGTGGCGGTGCCCGTGCTGGTGCGAGACGGCAAACCCTGGCATGCAGCTCCGTACAATGTCACTGTGTCATATCCCTACAACAACTATTACAACAGCTATGGAAACAACCCATACCACTGTAACTTCACTTCTGTACCACCGTTTGCCAACACAAGTCAAATACCCAACCACTTTGTGGATATGAATTTGACGACGGGAGGTGTCGATGGGATCAGAACTTGGTGAGCATGGCATCAGTCCTAAAAGAGAAGATTTTGGATAAAGACTATTTAACCGAATGGCACTGCTGAGGAAAATACACTGTCATATCCTATAAATTGCTGTCTGATTTTATATATATTTCTGTTTTTATATCTGTGGTTTACACAACAAACAACACCAAATAAAGACAAAATATTTAATAACATTTAGCTTGAAAGAGATTTTTTTTAGGAAAGCTAAATTATGCCAAATCAGGCTTTTATCGTGAAATGTGTTGATTGTGGCGGATCCCAGACAAATCATGATTTAACATATCAATTAAACGAAAAAAAAACAAAAACAAACACCACTGTTGTCTGTGTGTTACAATGTGACAATCTTTGATGTGTATATATAGATCCATTTTAAAATAATTTATAATTTTACTCCGACATGATTTGATTTCCTCAATGAGTTGTAAAATGTCCAGTGAACATAACACTTTGAACATAATAATATACAACACAAAATATTTGGCAGTAGGCTATAGGTTATTTAACCTTAAAATATTAAGTACAATATTAAGTCATTAACTAAGCTAGGTTTTCAAATGTATTTATTGATTTAATTATTTATTCATTCGTAGGCTATACGTATTTAGGCTATATTAGTCCAACGTGGGTGGACTTTTTTATTTTATTTTATATTATTGTTTTATTTAATTTTTACATAAGAAACAAAAAGTTTCTTTTAAAATTGCAGACATGTTAACTCTTGCAGTTATATTAACTATAGTAATCGCACGGTTTAATATGTTCGTTGTGTTTAGTTATTTTTCATCTGATTCGATCCGTAAATTATGTTTCGTTGTTATAGTCAGCTGATTCGATCATATTAAATATTTTAGAATCGCAAGTAAAGAAAGAAAGAAAGAAAGGTTTAGATATTAGGCTACTAGCCTATATGAAACGTTTTAGGCCGCTTGAGGAAATACAAAACAATTATTGTCGCTTTTTCCATTTTTCGTTTGTTTTTAAGTTATAGAATAAAAAAACATACAGATATAAAGAACAAGTTCCTAAATTAGTGATCGTTCTGTTTCACATTTTTCTATGGCCCATGATATGCTGCTGTGGCTTTCAGAAATTTGAGAGTAAAAATGTTTAGGCTACTTTACGAATAAATACTAGCTATTCAACGCGAATTTATTTTAAGATTTAAAATAAGTCAAATCGACTAAACAGAGTGACAACCTTAAAAAAAGTTAAGCAAGACCCTGCAATTCGCTGTAATATCGTAAACTAAACAAATTCAATTATCTCCCAATCTTAACGCTTTCCAACGAGCGTGTCATTACACTCACATCAGCCAAACAGATCAAACAATTGAAGAGCCGTGATAAGTCAGAGGACCCAGGACGCAGCGCTGAGAGTAAACAGAACCACAGACAAGCCGGCACTCTTTCAGTCTCGTCTCCCGATCTGTCAAGAAAACGATTCAAATCAAATCTGACTGCGAGCAAGCTATTGTAGATCTGATAAACCAAGCCTATAGGAGAATCTTTACAAATATGCGGCTTCAGCATTGAAAAATCGCATCATGGAATTTCGTACAGAATGTAATTCTGCTCATTTAGATATTTCCTGAAGGTGCTTGTAAGGGATTGTTACGCACTAAAAAATGCTGGGTTATTTCAACCCAACTTTGGGTCAAATTTGGACTAACCCAACTTTTGGGTTAAAAATTGAATGTAAAAATTTAACCCAATGGTTGGGTTAGTCCTTATTTGACCCAAAGTTGGGTTGAAATAACCCAGCATTTTTTAGAGTGTATTATGGCATGTTTCACTTATAAACTCAGTTGACACACAACTATAAAATACAATAGTAATTATCGTAAATATATAGGCCTATATATTTATATTTGCGAGTGTGTTTTATGAGGCAAGGTTTGTGAGATGTGAAATGTCTTTCATTCTTATCAGACAGACTATTATGAGCAATCAGAAATGTTTCACTGATGCTGGTGAGGGAGAGTTCAGAACTTCAGTCCTATCTTAATGGGCAATTTATTTCCTGTTAAAGACTGTGTTGGATAGAACCAAGGCAGAGATGGAAAACTCTCTCAAGAGTCTCGTCAGCGCTGGGTTCAGATAAGGGAAGTGTATGTGGCTCGGAGCAGTATTTAGCAGATTGATATACGTAGCTAAGAGCAGTATTTAGCAGCAGGCAGACAGAGTGGAGACTACGGCCACTTCAAGAGATCAGATAAGTGTGTGTGTGTGTGTGTGTGTGTGTGTGTGTGTGTGTGTGCGTGCGTGTGTGTATTTGTGTGTGTGAGTGCTTGTCAGGGTCTCTACGTTCATACACAAATGTACTGAACATTTATATGAGATTGTGTGAGGCTACAATTATGCAGATACATGCAAATGAATGAGAGGTAAATGAGTTGCGTCGGAAGTATTGTCCACTTCGTTGCAGGAAGAGATCAGATCAGAGACTTACTCAGTGACAGGAGGCCTGGATCTTCACTTCTGGCTTGTCACTCTGGAAGACACACACACAAAAACTCGGTCCACAGTTCTGAAGGAAGTGGAAACTGGCCGAAGGGCTAAAGGTTAAGCTGACTTCATCCCATCTAATTATTTATGAAATGGTGAAACCGCAAGAGGGGTCACTGGACTGAAATGTTTAAGTTGGTCAAAATGTATAATGTGTCTCTCTAATACTGTAACCTACACTAATCCTGCAGGGTCAAAATACAAAATGAGGTAAAAGTTACGCAGACATTCGATAAGTCTGGGTTGAAATTCGTTTTAACTTGTATTTTAGGTTTATAAAAGCGTTTATCTTTGATCACAAGAGATCACAAAGGACATGCATGAACTGAATTCAACTAGAATTTGAGAAGAACTGTATCAGAATGTTGAATCCCTAACAATAGGACTGTGAAAAACAACAAGGCCTCTGAAGCTGCTGAAACTTGTTGGAGCACACAAGAAGTTTAAAACAAGGCAGGGAGAGTGGCAGCATTTAAAGAGACTCGAAATGCAAGCTTAACCACAGCACCACAGAACGTCTTCAGCATTTATCTGAGGCAACGTGTGGTCTGTGAGGACACGGACTGTGCTGTTACTACATCGGAAGAGATGTTTTGGACATTTTGTCTGCATAAAGACTAGACATCTATAGAAAAGACTCTCATGCTCCCTAACAATGCTTACGCTACACATCTGTCCACACTTAAGAGACATCACTCAACTGCCTCCACATATAAACACACTCAAACTGAGCGGAATACCGGCAAAACTGCATTTTAACAATCTTGATGGCAAAAAATGCATTTCCTCTTTTCTGCTTATTTAAGATGCATGTTGTGCAACTGATTGCCGTTTGCCATTTCATCATCTCACCATCAAAGATACTCAAATTAGCCCCACTGAATTTGAACTGAACTCATCTGGACTGCGTTAAGTAAAGCATCGTAAGCCTAAGTTGATCGTAGCTCCATTGGTTTCAATGGGTTCACGATGTACTTAGCTTACGGTGCTTTTGGGAAACGCAGCCCTGGAAGAGTATATAGGAAATTTCAGTATGCACTATGCAGTTTATAGACTTACCGTTTGCAGTCGCCTACACAATACAGATTCGCCCCTCACCTAAAAAAAATTACCACAGTGGGGCTTTTATTGCGCATAATGTGGTGAGTGAGTTGCTTTGATGCCTCATTACAGAGCAAGCTGTGGAGACATTATGTCACTTACACTTAAGAGACATCACTCAACTGCCTCCACATATAAACACACTCATGTCCCCTGGCAAGACACACTCAAACTGAGCGGAATACCGGCAAAACTGCATTTTAACAATCTTGATGGCAAAAAATGCATTTCCTCTTTTCTGCTTATTTAAGATGCATGTTGTGCAACTGATTGCCGTTTGCCATTTCATCATCTCACCATCAAAGATACTCAAATTAGCCCCACTGAATTTGAACTGAACTCATCTGGACTGCGTTAAGTAAAGCATCGTAAGCCTAAGTTGATCGTAGCTCCATTGGTTTCAATGGGTTCACGATGTACTTAGCTTACGGTGCTTTTGGGAAACGCAGCCCTGGAAGAGTATATAGGAAATTTCAGTATGCACTATGCAGTTTATAGACTTACCGTTTGCAGTCGCCTACACAATACAGATTCGCCCCTCACCTAAAAAAAATTACCACAGTGGGGCTTTTATTGCGCATAATGTGGTGAGTGAGTTGCTTTGATGCCTCATTACAGAGCAAGCTGTGGAGACATTATGTCACTTCTTAAAAGGGAAAAGTAATACATTTGGTGCAGAAGAGATGTACTCACCTTTCTAGCATGCCATGCCTCCTTTTGTTCTCTCCCTCGCTTCCCTCTAATGGAGAACAAGTGTCTCCAGCTCATCCGCTCTGCTCGTCCATCTGATTGAGTGACTAGCATTGGGTCACAGCGAAAGCCACACAGCCGAGTCACTGTCATAGATTATTGAACCAATGTCCAAAAACCATATAGCACCACTTCCACATCTGAGGGGAGCCTACAGCAGCATACATCCTGTATTGCCTAGAGACTGTAAGTGCAATAGGTGTAAGTTGTCATTGCTCACAGAAAACTGGTTTTCATTTATATATAAAAAAAAGTTTTAGCACACTCTAAAAAGATTGCATATTATTGGAAATAATAATGAAAGAACATACTTAAGTTCAAACTGAATTTAATGTTTTTTGACACTTAGCTGCGTGTTAATTGCAATTAAATAGAAATACATAATTTATAAATTCATATTAGTTATATTAAATTAGTTGAACCTAGGTGTTTTTGACCCACTAAAGTAGGATTTAAGGACATTTTATATGTAATTTCATAATTACTTCTATTCTCTTTGAAATATGGTTAAAATGTACTTACAAGCATTTATGATAATCTAAAATATTTATAAATATTTAATAAATACTTTAATGTATATTGAAACTTGTGTCATGTATTTAAATATATTTGTATATTTGTGCATTTGCAATAATGAAGTTGCGATTTAGTACATTTAAAATATAAACATAATAAGACTAAAATTATAAGCAAGTACTTCTCATGTGCTTTAATATGTCAACACAATAAGTGTAATTATTTAAGGCATGAACATGCTAAACGTAATGATTTAAAATCTACTTTAAAGTAAAACTTTTTTGTCATTAATATGAAGTGTTCTTAATTATGTTAATGAAAGTGTGCTTTACCTTTACTTAGCCTTTTCTCATTAATATTATATTAATATTTGGAGTGCACTACAAGTGCACATTCAATACAGTTAAGGGCACTTCTTTTTCACAGGCTTGGAATTAATTCCAAATAATAAGAATTAATCTGGTCATGAATATTGCATAAGAAGAAACTGCCATCAGCTGTCCATCAAGTTGTGCAATCAGGTCTCTTTTGTAGAAACCAGAATTTCAAAAAATCAAAACCAAAAACAAATACTGTTATCTGCATAGCAAAATGCAACCAAACATGGTCCTGTCTGAACTTACTAACTAAACACTTCCTGTTTTTTTATAGCCAGCATTGCATTCCTGTTAGAACATTTTGGTTAAAGGAATTTGTGAAGGAGTAAAAATATATAGTAAATTCCTCCATCCATCAGTCAGGCTAAAAAATTCACTACGCTCAATACATTCGTCATAATTACGAGCTTATCATGTTTGGTTTAAAATCACGGCTATACTGGTTTGTATGTGGCAAACAGAAGTGTAGAGCAGGCAGTTGCCTGAAGCAAAGCGCTGGTTGTTTGTTCAGGGATCACCCCAGCAGGAATGAGGAGGTTCTGTCACTCAAGCTTCCACCCTGCTGTCTGCATGTGCTTTATCTGTGTCTCAACCGCCAGCTTTTCTGCCCCAACCAGTCATGTCACATGCAAAAACATCAGTCTAAGACTGAACCTCATCAAAGCCAAGTATTCTCTTGCGTTGCTATGACACATGCGTTGATACACTCAACAAAGAAGGTCTGATTATCACTTATAAGGAGCTGTGTGACTCATATAAGATGAGCTGTGTGACTCATATTAATAATAAAAAAGCAAGGTATAAGGTTGTGCTTAAAACAAGTGATTTTTAAAGTTTATGATGTAATCACTCGATTTAAACACTGTAAATGATAGTACTGTGTGAAAACTTGTTTCCAGACTATTGCCCCTTCAGGAAAATGTCATTCATTATGATTTAAAATGCTGTTATGTGGCTCCCCCTGCTGTTTGGAATTCTCAAAGGATGAATGCCACGAACTCATTGTCACCATTCTTTTACAGCACAGAAGATGAAGCGTGTTATTTCTGCACAGTAGCAGTTAGTGAGTTAGCATTTTTACACTTCCTGTTCCATCTTCCTAAAATTATTTTTTTTAATGGAATAAGTTATGTGGTTTAGTACAAGCTCAAGATATTTTATTCCACAACAACAAAAGCTTTTGCGCATCTTAACAGGTAGTTACAAGTGGCTAAATGGGAGTACAGAGGTTGTTGGGGACAATAAATGCCATAAAGCCAAAGTAGCTAAACTCATCTACTCTGCAGTTCACGTTGTTGATTATATGAGTCATTCTACAGAACTGGTCTAAACTCAGAGTTGGAAGCATCTGAAATTTTTTTATTTTTTTCCAAAAAAATTATGTGTGCAAATTGTATAATATTTGTATAAGTACAAATTTCTAGTAATTGTATTTTCATTAAAAAAAATTCACAAAACGTTTTGAAATATTTGTCCTCTCCCCAAATTTACAGTAATAATAAATTAATTACAAGGGTAAAAAAAAATACATATATATACTATATATATATATATATAGTGGGTACGGAAAGTATTCAGACCCCCTTACATTTTTCACTCTTTGTTATATTGCAGCCATTTGCTAAAATCATTTAAGTTAATTTTTTTTCCTCATTAATGTACACACAGCACCCCATATTGACAGAAAAACACAGAATTGTTGACATTTTTGCAGATTTATTAAAAAAGAAAAACTGAAATATCACATGGTCCTAAGTATTCAGACCCTTTGCTGTGACACTCATATATTTAACGCAGGTGCTGTCCATTTCTTCTGATCATCCTGGAGATGGTTCTACACCTTCATTTGAGTCAAGCTGTGTTTGATTATACTGATTTGACTTGATTAGGAAAGCCACACACCTATCTATATAAGACCTTACAGCTCACAGTGCATGTCAGAACAAATGAGAATCATGAGGTCAAAGGAACTGCCTGAAGAGCTCAGAGACAGAATTGTGGCAAGGCACAGATCTGGCCAAGGTTACAAAAAAAATTCTGCTGCACTTAAGGTTCCTAAGAGCACAGTGGCCTCCATAATCCTTAAATGGAAGACATTTGGGACGACCAGAACCCTTCCTAGAGCTGGCCATCCGGCCAAACTGAGCTATCGGGGGAGAAGAGCCTTGGTGAGAGAGATAAAGAAGAACCCAAAGATCACTGTGGCTGAGCTCCAGAGATGCAGTCGGGAGATGGGAGAAAGTTGTAGAAAGTCAACCATCACTGCAGCCCTCCACCAGTCGGGGCTTTATGGCAGAGTGGCCCGACGGAAGCCTCTCCTCAGTGCAAGACACATGAAAAAACACCTGAAGGACTCCAAGATGGTGAGAAATAAGATTATCTGGTCTGATGAGACCAAGATAGAACATTTTGGCCTTAATTCTAAGCGGTATGTGTGGAGAAAACCAGGCACTGCTCATCACCTGTCCAATACAGTCCCAACAGTGAAGCATGGTGGTGGCAGCATCATGCTGTGGGGGTGTTTTTCAGCTGCAGGGACAGGACGACTGGTTGCAATCAAGGGAAAGATGAATGCGGCCAAGTACAGGGATATCCTAGACGAAAACCTTCTCCAGAGTGCTCAGGACCTCAGACTGGGCCAAAGGTTTACCTTCCAACAAGACAATGACCCTAAGCACACAGCTAAAATAACGAAGGAGTGGCTTCACAACAACTCTGTGACTGTTCTTGAATGGCCCAGCCAGAGCCCTGACTTAAACCCAATGGAGCATCTCTGGAGAGACCTAAAAATGGCTGTCCACCAACGTTTACCATCCAACCTGACAGAACTGGAGAGGATCTGCAAGGAGGAATGGCAGAGGATCCCCAAATCCAGATGTGAAAAACTTGTTGCATCTTTCCCAAAAAGACTCATGACTGTATTAGATCAAAAGGGTGCTTCTACTAAATACTGAGCAAAGGGTCTGAATACTTAAGACCATGGGATATTTCAGTTTTTCTTTTTTAATAAATCTGCAAAAATGTCAACAATGCTGTGTTTTTCTGTCAATATGGGGTGCTGTGTGTACATTAATGAGGAAAAAAAATTAACTTAAATGATTTTAGCAAATGGCTGCAATATAACAAAGAGTGAAAAATTTAAGGGGATCTGAATACTTTCCGTACCCACTGTATAAACAAAACCTTTTTGCGCACAGTTCAATTCATGGAAGAAGCCTTTTATTTTTGTGGTGTTCCTGGAAAATCAAAAAATATATTTTGACTCATTGGTTTCTTGTGACCTCTGTACATAGCAACCAAAAAACACATTTAAAAAGCATTTAAGTATTCAAATCTTAGATGTTTACTAAGATCCTTCTATTATCTATTGAGATAATAGAAATACACAAAATAATAATTAAATTATGTGTATGTTTTAGTCCATTGGCCGAGACTGATTTTAACTATACCCCTACATTTATGATCATGAAATATTTATGTGTCACTCTCTCTCATAGCTACATGGTGAGTACATAGGCTCCATCATTTCGAGGTAAATGTATTCAAAAGTCCGAAAAATCTATGTGTAACTTTAAGGAACATCACTACCGAACACCTTTTTTCTACAATTAAGCACACTTTTTTCAGTGTTATTCCACATTTAGTTTTTATATGTACACCACTGTTCAGAACTGTACTAGCTAACCATGTGCTGATTAGCATCTTTGAGCTAGGTTCAAAAGTATCTAAAATTGTCTACCAAAACAGTCACTACTGAAACATTTGGTGGAGTTTCGGTAGTGAAATCTCTCTTTCTTTTTTTTTCTTTTTTTTTGGGCGGGGGGTCGTGTTATCCCACAAAATTAGGAAAACATAATCCACATATTTGGGGGAAATAAACAACATCTTAGTTTTTATTAAAAAAAAATGTGTACGTTTTAGTAGTGTTTTAGTATGCAAGTTAAAATTCTGTAATGTGATGTGGTCGCTACAAAAGCATTACTGTCACTACCGAAAATGTGCAGTCACTACCGAAACATGAGATGTTTTGTCAAAAATAAAATATACTGAATTAACAGCTAAGATGTTATGATAGTTTTTGGTTCAATATTCAAAATATCAAAATAATAACTCTGAAATCAGTATGATCAACTTTTTGCCTTTTACAAAGAAAAATGTATTCAGAATACAACACATCTACACATCTCCACTTGAAATATTGTTAAAAATGTTATTGTTATTGAGAATTGTTTAATAAAATAGCAATATATACATATAGTATATACATATAGTATATATATGTTTTTTTTTTACCCTTCTAATTAATTTATTATTACTGTAAATTTGGAGAGAGGACAAATATTTCAAAACGTTTTGTGAATTTTTTTGAATGAAAATACAATTACTAGAAATTTGTACTTATACAAATATTATACAATTTGCACACATAATTTTTTGGGAAAAAAAAAATTAAATTTCAGATGCTTCCAACTCTGAGTTTAGACCAATTCTGTAGAATGACTCATTGACAGTGGAAATCAAAATTAGAAAACAATCCTAAAATACTGAATATTGTTCATCTTCATCGCTCAAAATTTGAAAGAATATTAGCTGCGAGTATACCACTCTTCTACTAACATGTTTGACAATATAACCAAGGCATTTCAACAAAAACATTTATGTTGTATAAAACACAGTGATCAAAATTAGAGAACAGTAACCACTGTAGCACAAAAGATTACTGTACAACACCTGTTTTGTAATCCTGCAGTATTCGAGAAATCACAGATTTGGAATGACCAGATTCTCTTGCAATGGCTGAAAGGGTCATTCCTTTGGCCTTCATCTGGACAACCTCCTGTCGCAGGGTTTCAGTCACCTTAGAACAGCCCACCATCTTGCAATCTCAGTGAAAACTGGAGGAATGTTGCCAGTTTAATAGGGTTTGTCATTGGAAATTAGCGCCAGGTGCTAGATTAACACCAATACAGTAACTTGGAGATATTTATGTGTTCTCTAATTTTGATTAGAGTATATATTTTATTTTATTATATTTTATATATATATATATATATATATATATATATATATATATATATATATATATATATATATATCTTTTACAAAGGAGAAGTGCTCACTAACACAGATTTAGACAGATTTGTGAACAATATTTGAGAGAAATAGGCCTTTTGTGTACATAGAAAATGTCTTAGATCTTTGAGTTCAGCTCATGAAAAATGGGGGCAAAAACAAAAGTGTTGCATTTATAATTTTGTTAATTGTATATATATATATATATATATATAGTATATGGGCCATTCTACAGAATTGGTTCAAACTGCTGTCCCACAACCAAAAAACACATTTAAAAAGCATTTAAGTATTCAAATCTTAGATGTTTACTAAGATCCTTCTATTATCTATTGAGATAATAGAAATACACAAAATAATAATTAAATTATGTGTATGTTTTAGTCCATTGGCCGAGACTGATTTTAACTATACCCCTACATTTATGATCATGAAATATTTATGTGTCACTCTCTCTCATAGCTACATGGTGAGTACATAGGCTCCATCATTTCGAGGTAAATGTATTCAAAAGTCCGAAAAATCTATGTGTAACTTTAAGGAACATCACTACCGAACACCTTTTTTCTACAATTAAGCACACTTTTTTCAGTGTTATTCCACATTTAGTTTTTATATGTACACCACTGTTCAGAACTGTACTAGCTAACCATGTGCTGATTAGCATCTTTGAGCTAGGTTCAAAAGTATCTAAAATTGTCTACCAAAACAGTCACTACTGAAACATTTGGTGGAGTTTCGGTAGTGAAATCTCTCTTTCTTTTTTTTTCTTTTTTTTTGGGCGGGGGGTCGTGTTATCCCACAAAATTAGGAAAACATAATCCACATATTTGGGGGAAATAAACAACATCTTAGTTTTTATTAAAAAAAAATGTGTACGTTTTAGTAGTGTTTTAGTATGCAAGTTAAAATTCTGTAATGTGATGTGGTCGCTACAAAAGCATTACTGTCACTACCGAAAATGTGCAGTCACTACCGAAACATGAGATGTTTTGTCAAAAATAAAATATACTGAATTAACAGCTAAGATGTTATGATAGTTTTTGGTTCAATATTCAAAATAATAAATCCTTAACTCTGAAATCAGTATGATCAACTTTTTGCCTTTTACAAAGAAAAATGTATTCAGAATACAACACATCTCATACATTACACTTGAAATATTGTTAAAAATGTTATTGTTATTGAGAATTGTTTAATAAAATAGCAATATATACATATAGTATATACATATAGTATATATATGTTTTTTTTTTACCCTTCTAATTAATTTATTATTACTGTAAATTTGGAGAGAGGACAAATATTTCAAAACGTTTTGTGAATTTTTTTGAATGAAAATACAATTACTAGAAATTTGTACTTATACAAATATTATACAATTTGCACACATAATTTTTTGGGAAAAAAAAAATTAAATTTCAGATGCTTCCAACTCTGAGTTTAGACCAATTCTGTAGAATGACTCATTGACAGTGGAAATCAAAATTAGAAAACAATCCTAAAATACTGAATATTGTTCATCTTCATCGCTCAAAATTTGAAAGAATATTAGCTGCGAGTATACCACTCTTCTACTAACATGTTTGACAATATAACCAAGGCATTTCAACAAAAACATTTATGTTGTATAAAACACAGTGATCAAAATTAGAGAACAGTAACCACTGTAGCACAAAAGATTACTGTACAACACCTGTTTTGTAATCCTGCAGTATTCGAGAAATCACAGATTTGGAATGACCAGATTCTCTTGCAATGGCTGAAAGGGTCATTCCTTTGGCCTTCATCTGGACAACCTCCTGTCGCAGGGTTTCAGTCACCTTAGAACAGCCCACCATCTTGCAATCTCAGTGAAAACTGGAGGAATGTTGCCAGTTTAATAGGGTTTGTCATTGGAAATTAGCGCCAGGTGCTAGATTAACACCAATACAGTAACTTGGAGATATTTATGTGTTCTCTAATTTTGATTAGAGTATATATTTTATTTTATTATATTTTATATATATATATATATATATATATATATATATATATATATATATATATATATATATATATCTTTTA